CCCACCTGGTGTGGGTACTATGGAGCTGCTCAGTTTGATGTTGCTGGGTCATTGTCCTAGTGTGGCGCCCCCTAGAGTATGCCGCTACTAAATCTAGTGTATATCTGGACTGTAATCAGTCTGGATCCTGTTTGTTCTGAGTTCTGCGTTCTACAGGTGTCCCTGCGTTTCCTGGATTGATTGCTCCCCCCCTTGTTGCTGGGTTGGGGACTCAGCATACAGTGAGGGAGGATCCATCCTCAGACTGTGACTAAGCACCTGACCCTAACCAATCCCTGAGCAGGATGTCTCAGAGGTATGGCTGAGGTCAGGTGATAAAAGGTTTGGGGACACTTTGCAGAGCTCTCTCCACACCAGGGGCCCTCCATGGGAGGAGGCCTGTGTGATATAGAAGCCTGGCCTGGGCCTCAGCACGTGGCAGGTGCTGGGGGCCTAAAGGTCTAAGATACTACAGATGCTTTGCTTGGGCCTCAGCATGTGGCAGGTGTTGGGGGCCTAGAAGCAGAAGATACTACAGGATATCTGGTATGCACCTCAGCAAGTGGCAGATGCTGAGGGCCCAGAGACTTCAGGTGCTGCTGAAAGGAGACCTGATGGAAGCTGGGCTGGAGGTGGAATCTGCTTATCGAGGAGTGTTGCAAAGGAGCTGGTGAGAGCTACCGTCTGGATCCCTGTAAGAGATCCCTCACCCTATTCCCAGGGGGGTTTTACTGAAGAGCAGCCAGTTGTCGCCTTAGAAGGCCAGAGATAGTCCTCTCTCAATGTCCTGGACTATACTTCCTGTTCTCTGTGCTGCTGTATATTGCTGGTCGCTCTTAAAGGACCATTGTGCTACAAATTCTAGCCGTTGTTGCGGGAGAAGACAGCTGTCTGGTGTCTCCTCCAAGGCCAGAAGGAACATCTCATACCCAGGAATCCGGGACACCAACTTAGGAAGCTTCTTCTTGGTTAGGTCAGTCAGGGGTGTAGCCAAGGCACTATGGTGGCATACAGATTTCCTCTAGTAGCTGGGGGTCCTTAACAATGGCATAACCTCCTTTCTGGGTTGATGGGTAGGCCGTGCCATGATGGCTTAGACCTTCTCTGTCTCAGGTCTTAGGCTGCTTGTTCCTTCCTGGTGATCCATGTCCTGGACTTCTGTCATACTGGGTTTATCTCTCAGACTGGCAGTTTCCAGGACTTCTGATTGGTGGGCGAGGTGCTCTTCCCGGGCAGGGCTGAATAGTGCAATGTCATCCAGGCTGGCAACTAGGAATGCCTGAAGCCCTCCCATTCATGATCTTCTGAAAGGTGGCTGATGCGTTCTTCATCATACACGGCAATAATCTGAGCTGGAAACATCTGAATGGGGTGATGAAGGCTGATTCTTCCCAAGCCATTACTCACTGCCCCGTTCCATCATTGTTAGCAGGTGGAGGCCATCTTATTGAACATCTCATTGACCCTGGGCTTTGGGTAGGCATCAGGAGTAGTGACGACATTCAGCTTCCTGCCTTACCTGGTTGTCTGACCGGTTATGGGAACTTAAGCTACCAGTGATGTCCAAGTATGGTGAGACTTTTGTATGACCCCAAACTAAAGCATCTCCTCAGTCCTCCTTCTACAAGTCTGCCTTCACTGGTTTTATTGGAGGGCCACGCCCCCGTGTTTACCTTGTGGACTACAGGGTGCCCCCACCCTGGTTTCCCTGTAGAATGGTCACATTGTGCCACAAGGACTTCCACCAGCTGAGTTTCCTGTGTTGAAGAGAGATGTGAACTGGTATTGAGGTCTGAGTGTCAGCTAGCATGTCTAACAGTGGATCTGCCTCTCGGGGGGCCAGCAACCTTGCCCTCCCTAGTCTCCTGGACGGCCCTCTCACACACCTTCCTTCTATGAGTTCAAAAGGAGAAGTCTTCCTGGGTCACCGATCTTGCCTTCTTAAGTCTCCTGGATGGTCCTCTCAACACCTCCATTAAGTTGAAATGGAGAAGTTTTTGGGGCCAGCAACCTTGCCCTCCCAAGTATCCTGGACGGTCCTCTCACACACCTTCCTTATATGAGTTCCAATAGTGAAGTCTTCCGGGCTAGCAATCTTGCCCTCCCAAGTCTACTGGGTGGTCCTCTTAAAGCCTCCCTTATATAAGTTCAAATGGAGAAGTTTTTGGGGCCAGCAACCTTGCCCTTCCAAGTGTCCTGGATGGTCCTCACACGCCTTCTTTATACGAGTTCAAATGGTGAAGTGTCTGTGGACCCCTGGGGCACCTCTCTGTAGGCAAGCAAGAAGTGAGGCCTCTTGTTCCCAGTTCCTTTCCTGTGACTCTACAATGGCCCTCAGCATTCATTTCAAAGTCCCATTGAAGTGTCTTCCCGGGTGTGGGGCTGGTCAGGAGAAGCCACCTGAGTGGGTTCCCTCAACCCAAGTGAGAGCAAGGATCTTCCGCAGGATCATTTTCTTTTTGCCCACCAGCTTAGGGCAAGCGAGTGTGACTTCTACCCCAGTGTCTCGAAAACCAGTAACGTGTTGGTTGTTCGTGATGACAGCCTGTAGGTCGGCATTGCTGCCCAACGCTTATGAACAGCACAAAGTTGACCAGTCAGGTTCTTCTGCTCTGGGCAGGTGTGCCCGAGGTGTCTGGGCTTGCTACAAGTAAAAATTCTGGGGGTATCATGTGATGTTGGCTTGTTACCGGGAGCTCTAGTCGCCGGGAAGTTTGGTTCACAGCTGTAGCCTCTGGTGACTCCCCTCTTTTCCAGCCACTGGGGGGAACCCCGGGGTGGTCAGATACTCGAGTGTTTCTGTAGCTATCTGCTGTTTCTGAGCCACTTTGGCTGACTCAGTCTTGTGCACATGTGTAGGAGTTGATCCTGAATCCAGGGGAACATCTGTGGCAACTGGCACATAATTTGCTGCCACACCCAGACAGGAATGTAACAGAGTTTACAATACAGGAGCATTTAGAGATAACAGCGGATCATCAGGCCCTCCAGGGAATCTTTTTTACCACATCCGTGCGTCTGCATAGCTTTTCTGTAGCAACCTGAATTTCTTGTAGTAGACCTCTGAGGTCAACTCATACTTCATACTTATTCCATCCTCATGGCCCATCATCGTAGCAATCTGCTATTTCTGAGCCACTTTGGCCGACTCAGCCTTGTGCTCCATCACAGGAACAGATGTGTAGAAGTTGATCCTGAATCATCAGGCACCTCCAGGGAAGCATTTGTGGCCACTGACACAGCATTCACTGCCACACCCAGACAGGAATGTAACAGAGTTTAGAAAACAGGAGCTCTTCACAGAGTATTTCATGTTTGCATAGAGCATTCTACGGATTTAGAGATAACAGCGGATCATCAGGCCCCCCAGGGAATTTTTTTTACCACATCCGTGGGTCTGCATAGCTTTTCTGCAGCAACCTGAATTTCTTGCAGTAGACCTCTGAGGTCAACTCATACTTATATCACCCTCATGGCCCATCATCCTTTTTAGTTGGCAACTCATCATAGGCCTCCGGTGCTTTGTCACTCAGCCCTGCAATCAGATTCAGGGCCCCACTGCATTTGTGGCAACTGGCATGTCGACACATCATTTGCTGCCACACCCAGACAGGAACATAACAGAGTTTACAATACAGGAGCTCATCAGAGTACAAGTTATTTAATGTTTGCATAGAACATTCTGCAGATTTAGAGATAACAGCGGATCATCAGGCCCTCCATGTAATCTTTTGTCACTCCTTTAGCCCACTGTAGGAATGTGGTGTCTAGAAAACTTACCAGATCCATGTGTCCTGAGACCTCTGAGGTCAACTGATACTTCATACTTATGGCCTCTTAGCCGTCATTCTTCTCAGTTGGCAACTCCACAAAGGCCTCCAGGGCTTTGCCTCTCAGCCCTGCAATCAGATACGACACCCACTGCATCTGTGGCAACTTTCTCATCATTTGCTGCCACACCCATACAGGAAGCCAACAGAGTTTACAATACAGGAGCTCTTCATAGAGTACACGTTATTTAATGTTTACATAGAGCATTCTACGGATTTAGAGATCATGGATCAGCAGGCCCTCCAGGGAATCTTTTCTCAGTCCTTTAGCCCATTGCTGGAATGTGGTGTCTAGACATCTTACCACATCGTCTGCATATCTTTTCTGCAGCAACCACAATTTCTTACAATAGACCTCTGAGGTCAACTGATTCTTCATACTTATGGCCTCTTAGCTGTCCCTCTTCTCAGTTGGCAAATCCTCATAGGCCTTCAAAGCTTTGCCTCTCAATCAGATACAGGGCCCACTGCATCTGTGGCAACCGGCAATGATGTCACATCATTTGCTGCCACACCCAGACAGGAATCTAACAGAGTCTACAATACAGGAGCTCTTCACAGAGTAGAAGCTATTTATTGTTTAGTTAGAGCATTTAGAGATTCAACTGATTTGGAGATAACGGATCATCAGGCCCTCCAGGGAATCTTTTCTTTCATCCCTTTAGTCCACAGACAAGAATGTGGTGCCCAGGCAGCGTACCACATCCATGTGTCTGCGTATCTGGTCTGCAGCAACCTGAATTTCTTGCAGTAGATCTCTGATGTTGATACTTATATTATCCTCATGACCTCATAGTCATCATCCTTCAGTTGGCTATTCAACATAGGCCTCCAGGGCTTTACCTCTTAGCCCTGCCATCAGATACAACACCCAATGCTTTGGTGGCAATTGGCACATCATTTGCTGCCACACCCATACAGGAAGCTAACAGAGTTTACAATAAAGGAGCTGTTTACAGAGCTGAGGTTATTGAATGTTTACTCAGAGCATGTAGAGATTCAGCTGAATGATTTTTAAGTACTTTATTGAAAAATACAGGAGCGGGAAACGTTTACAGAAAAGATATTACAAAACAGTCACATCAGTCTCTTCTTTCGCTCGATAACTTGCAGGGAGGCTTGAAGAGTCACTCTGGATTGATTTGAAAATTATTTCCCTGACTCAGGAAAGGTATAGGGCTTCTCCTTCATGTGAGATCGTTTATGTCTGGTAAGTTGGGGTTTCTGTATAAAAGATTTCCCGCACTCAGAGCAGGAATACGGCTTCTCACCGGTGTGAGACCTCTGATGCACAGCAATGTAAGACTTACTACTAAAACATTTCCCGCAATCGGAGCAGGAATAAGGCTTCTCCCCGGAGTGAGACTTCTGGTGCACGTTGAGATGAGTCTTACATATGAAACATTTTCCACACTCAAAGCAGGAATATGGCTTCTCACCTGTATGAGACCTCTCATGCACAGAGAGATGAGACTTGCGTACAAAACATTTACCGCACACGGAGCAGGAAAACGGCTTCTCCCCTGTATGAGACTTCTGATGCTCAGTGAGGTGAGATTTACGTAAAAAACATTTCCCGCACACAGAGCAGGAATATAGCCTTTCCCCTGTGTGAGAGAGCTGATGTTTCGTAAGATCTGATTTTTTGACGAAGGTTTTCCCGCACTCAGAGCAGGAATATAGCTTCTCCCCTGTATGAGACCGCTGATGCAAAGTGAAATTGGATTTACATACAAAACTTTTCCCACACACAAGACAGGAAAATGGCTTCTCACCTGTGTGAGATCTCTCATGTATAACTAGTTTCGATTTGTAAAGAAAACTTTTCCCACACTGAGGACAGGAATGAAGCGCCTCACCCGCATGAGATCTCTGATGTACAGTAAGGTGATATTTATGTAGAAATGTTTCCCCGCACTCTGAACAGGAATGAAGCTCCTCAACCGTGTGAGACCTCTGATGTTCAGTAAGACCTAATTCAGATTTAAAACTTTCCCCACAATCAGGACACAAAAAGTTATTTTTCCCCTGAATTCCGGCACCATCCCCCACAGGACGAGGTCGCTCAGAGTCAGAGGGAGTCCATGGTCTATCCGCACCGTGACGTCCACCATCCATAGCTGAGCTCATTGTCTCTTCTCCCGCACAATCTGCTGTGATGTCCTCATCTTCCATCTTACAACCTGGAGATAAAGTCAGACGATCCTTTGAGGGTTCCTCCATGGCGTGTCCTGGAAACATAGAAACACATGATGGAGAGATATGAGAGGGTTAGATGACTTCACTCAACATTCCATCTGGATCAGGAGGTCTGAGGGAGCAGATGTTCTATGAGGAGGTCCCAACCAGCCGGGACTCCTCCCCTCTTCAGTCAAAGGGCCTCCTCCCTGATCACTTCTACATTGACTAATATAATATGACCCACCTGTGCTGGTCTCTGTAGGCGTGTCCTCCTCTATGGACGTCCTCATCATCCCGGCCTCCTCCGTATATCGCTGATCATCCCTCACATACGTCTCTTCTACTTCACCCTCAACTTTCATCTTCATCAGATCTTCACCCTAAACCAACAGAACGGCAGAAAGTCTCATCTGTGACATAGAAGTATTTATGATGTGACATCACATAGAAGATCTCATCTTGTAGAGTCCACACGTCATCTCCACATGTCAGAGCGTTCCATCACTTTATGTTCCCGCCCCTCAACTCCACCCACCTGGTGAGGGATCATAATGTCTTTGAAGAGTACCTTGTGTCTTTCAGAAAACTCCTCCATCACACCGTACTCCTCATCCTCTTCTTTAACAACAATATTATAATCTCCGAGGTTTCCACTCTGAAGATATAATAAAAAACATTTATTGTAACAAACATGTTTGTGTATAAATCATAACTACTAAGAATTGTCCATCATCTACCTGATGATGGTGAGGGACGGTGAGATGTTCCTGGGTGGGGTCCCGGGAATACAGGGGGCGGGGACATCTCTCATGGCGGGGGATGGTGAGATCCTCCTGGGTGGGGTCCCGGGAATACAGGGGGCGGGGACATCTCTCATGGTGGGGGA